TCTTCGAGGAAGAAGCCCATCAGGAGGGAGCCGCCGACGTTGGGCCATAGGACGCCGGTTACGACGGGCGCGCCGGGATAGAAGGTGAGCGCTTGCAGGCCCAGCCGGGCCAGGGTGCCGAAGATGGAGAAGAAGACGAGGTATGAAAGTGTGAAGAGGTGAGTGGCATGTTTGGAGAGCGGTTGTATGCTGGGAGTGCGCTTTGCGGGTGTAGGTTCGATGGGAGCTGCGGGAGGTTTTTCGGTGGTGGGAGGCAGCGCATAGCCGGTGGAGGACCAGGATTGACGCTGAGGAGGATTCGAGGGCGTAGGAGGTGGAGCAGCACTTTCAGAGAGACCAGCGGGCTGGTCTTGGGACGATTGCTGCATGAGGATGATGCTTGTTCAAGCTCTGGCTGAGTACGCCCAATGCCAAGAGGACTGGAGAGACTTGGTGACGGTGCAAAGAGAGGTGGGTCTGTTGTTATCAGCGAAAGCACTCTCCATGGAGATGTCTGATAAGACCTAAAGATGTCATTGATCCATATCATTAGCATGTCAACAGAGATATACTCAATAAAGAAGAAGAGATAATGATGCATGAAGGAGAGATGAAGAGAAGTGGATGAAGGGGGGCTAAGCAGCTGTTTCTTCCTGCGGCATGCTTAAATGCAGCTCCTTCAAGTCCCCTACAGCGACACAACTCATCAGCCCCTCTCTATCCCCTCTTCATCCCTTCGTCGAATCCCTCTTCTTATCTGTTTCACTTTTGCATCTTACAGTAACTATCTTCCGAATCTAAGACGATGCTCCCCTCCAATATCCATGTTTCCTCCCATCCCTGCCTCCAGGCCAAACTCTCCCAGCTCCGGTCGCATTCCACCTCTAGTCGCGAGACTCGCAGTCTGGTGCATGAGATTGCAACCATTCTAGGTGTTGAAGCCTTTGCCGCCGGGTTGAAGGTTGCCAGTGGTGAAAAGGTGGTGTATCCTGCTGCAATGCCGCAAACCGATATAGTCTGATTCCCTACCATAGGATAAAACCCCGCTGGGCATTGAGTATGAGACGAAGACAATCGACCCTGCCAACGTGGCCTTGGTGCCTATTCTCCGATCAGGATTGGGCATGATTGAGGGTATCCCTATATTTTCTCTTGTCCATGGACGTACTCCGAACTACTGCTGAACCGTGCTCAAGCTATCAACAACCTCCTCCCCGCCACCGTCCCCATCTACCACCTTGGCCTCTTCCGCGACAAGTTCACCCTCCAACCGGTCGAATACTACAATAACCTCCCCTTCCTGCGCCCCGACTCCCCCACCAATTCCACCGCCGCCAACCTCGCCATCCTGCTCGACCCCATCATCGCGACCGGCGCCACGGCCGAGGCGGCCATCCAGCTCCTCCGCGAATGGGGCGTGCAGCGGGTGATCATGCTCAGCGTGCTCGGTTCGAAACCGGGGCTTCGTCGTGCGGCCGAGTGCTGGCCCGAAGGCGTGGAGCTGTGGGTGGGCGCCGTCGACGAGCAGTGCGATGAGCGGGGGATGATTGTGCCCGGGGTGGGGGATATCGGAGATCGCTTGTTCCTTGCTATGGGCAAGTAGTAGGCGCAGCAGCGGTATTGTCCGCATTTCAGATCAAGTCGCATCGCATTGAAGCATGGTAGACAGACAGGATATCCCATTAAATTGACCATATAAGTACTCCGTACCATCAACGCCCTTGTCATATAGACCAACCAAACCGTAACACCTTCTCCCACCCGTGGTCCCATTTCTATAATCACACCATAACTCCATCACAATTACCACTGACGCCCCTCATCTCCTCTCACGATCACCACGCAAAGACGGAACCTCCAGCGCCCCAACCGGCGGCACAATCTCCCTACCCAGCATCTTCCCCCGCGAACCTCCAACTCCCCGGAAACGCTCATACCGGAACGCCCGCTGAGCAAGCTCCCTCTGCCGATCCTTATCGCGCTGCTTGTCGCGGCGGTCGGCGGCTTCATCGATATTACTCGTTAGCCAGATCCAGCTGATATGAAACACACACGTGGAGTATGGAATGTGGGGGCGGCGGGGTGGGTGGGATTGAGATTGCCATACCCCGCCAGAAATAGATGTATACCGCCATGATCAGCAGGCAGGCGACGATGAAACCGAACATGACGCCTAGCTCGTGGCCTAGGGAGGGCATGGGTGTGTAGGGGGGCATGTTGTTTGGCGTGGACATTTCTGGGATCGAGGAGCTGTTTCTGGGGGTTGTTTGTTACGGGAGATGAGTTGGTGTTATGCGAGGGTATAAAATATGAGATGGTTGGAAAAGAGTAAATGGAGGGAGTATTCTGTGGAGGTTAAGAGAATAAGGCTGGCTGAGGAGGTTGATCTGCAGCTCAGCCCCTTCTCGTGTTGTGGATGATGCTCCAACTCCAAGAACAAGCAAACAAAGAAACGGACCTCCCGTTTTGGTAGAGTGAAATGATTGGACGAGATGTCAAGTATTGTTAGCTATCATCATTGTAATTGTGCCTTGGTGGCAGAATTAAGTAGTAGTAGGTACATCATTGGGTGTCTTCACACCTGCAATCAGCCATATCAATATCCATGAAAATAAAAGAAGAAAAGACGCCTGGATATAACCACAAGAAGAGCAATATAAGGTATCATGTACACGTTCCGCCAATAGGATCGGCAACCCAGTCTATATCGAATGAGGGTATGTCAATGCAAGTGAAAAAGAAGAGAATATAAATCAAGAACATAGGCAACGGTTGTGCGCCTCGTCTTTGAAGGAGGCTCCCGCAGGCCGCGGCGAATGTATGCGACGCTTGTAGCAAACGAGCCAAAATCATCGGACAGCTCAGGTCTGAGAAAGAAGAAGAGAAAATAAAACTCCGATAATGCAGGAGTGCTCATGATGCACTGCACAAAGCAGAAAAGTCGGCTGTATGTATAGAAGAAACCGTTATCATGGATCCAGTCACCCAAGCATCACTGCGGCCAAGGCCGTACAAGTCAACCCGATGGCCATACCGATCCAAGGTGTTTGCCCGAGTGTGCCTTCACTCCGTGCTCTCAGCGACTTGGTCGATCCAGATGACGCTTCCAATGAGCGCAGTTCGATAGATCCGTGCGCGGGTTCAGATAGTTGACCTTCAAAGACAGGCATTGGGGCCCTCTGTTTACTGGGGATGACTGCCACAACAGGGTAGTCTGGACTTGAAGTAATATCATTCCCGAACTTATCGTAGACCCGTTGTTCACTTTGCACGTGTTCAATACTCGAGGGTGCCGTAAGTTCTGGCGAAGAAGCGGAGGGTAGGTTATCTGCTGAGGATGTGAGAGCAACGGCAGGCTTTTGCTCGAACTCGGCTGCCAGAGCCACGGATGGGACGAGACAGAGGACGAGGTTGGATATCTTCATATTGATTGTGACTTTCGGTGGATTGGTTGAGCGGCACAGGTATGTCGAACGTTCGGTAAGCCTAGCGATAGAGTCGCTCCTCCTGGCCTGTTGCTGATGCTGTTTCAGGAGACGACAAGTTCACACGGTGACGATCGGTTGAAAGGCTGGAAACAGGATAGATTCTCAGGTTGGATTGGTGAACGAGGTTGTTGTCGAGATTCAGGCCTGGGTGAGTCGAGCTCCGGGCTAGAGCTCAGGAGACACTATGTACTAAACGAGCGGCTGTGCGTCTCCTGAACGGGCGATACCCGAGACGAATTCGAAACTTGAGACTGTGAGGGGAAAGAGACGGACTCAAATTAAGAGCAACAGATCCCAACCAGGACGCACACACAAGGGGATCCGAACTTTTGTGAAGGCAAGGATCAGACAGGTGAAGACTGACGAAGGGAAGGAAGAGAAGAAAATCAAGGCAACGCGCAAAAACAATCGAGCAGCCAGCAGTCGTCCAGGAGGTGGACTAGAAAAGAGACTAAAACCACTCAAGGTGAAAAATGAGAGGCCAGAACCACAATATCCATCCACCTTTAATTAAAGCGAAATTAGCATTGTACGCATACTCACTTAAAGGGGGTGGGGGGGTTTTCGATGGGTGGGGTCCATCACCGCGAGGCTTCAATTTCCCTGGCTTTTTATTGGCTACTACGAGCCGTGTCAGCACGGTCTGGGACTAGTGACAGCCGATCGTTGCCTCGTGCAAGACTTGAGAAGCTTATCAGAAATTTGCGGCCAATGAGAGTGCGTGGGGCAGGGGCTAGTCTCTGCGACGGTGGCTGCGGGTCTATTCCCCATTGGTTTCGTGCCAAGGCAGCAAAGGGGCCAGTCAGGGCTGCGAGAGGGTCCACGCCCGTGTGATGTAATAAGATATCTGCCCGTCAGCTCGCCATATATAGAAATCATGAATCGTCAATAATTAAGCATCAAGTGATATAGATACAAGCAGGCAAGAGGGTATCTATGGTCCTCCACAAGCTTTCTGGCTGGATACTCTATATCATGCCTCCTATCAGAACTACAGTAAAAGAATAAAGTATTCCATTATCTTCATGGCTGCAGACAGCCACACCTCCAGTCAATTCCACTAAGTTCGACTAGCTGTCGCCTTTCCCTAAATAGCAGAAGTATGAAGACGTCATTAAGCTCGATAACCGGCGATATCAATCACTACCTCAGTATGCATATTGTCCTGCGATAGCGAAGTAAATCGGACTCCAGCGAGTCGGCCCTAGTAAAAAGGAAAATGCAGGATGGTCATACAATCTGACTTACTAATAACGTACCTAGGCAACAAGCCGATTCTCACCCTTACTGCTGATCTGATAATCATCCCCGTTCTGGTGCAGAGGCTGTTGGCGTCCAGTCTCTCGATTGACTACCTTCTAAGATCCAAACTAAAGCTCTTGAAACTCCAAAGGCCGTAATCATGCATTGTACATGTTCTAAAAATCGCTACCCTATGCACACAGTAAAGCCCAAAAAGACAAAGATGTTCGTAGACACAGCCATGGCAATCACAGACAGTGTCTAATGCTTTTTGTTGCGCCAAATCCCCATTCAAAGCATCTTCCCCCAGTCAGGCGTGACAGTGAACTTGCCACTGAGCTGCCCCATAGCCCATACCCGGTTCTCTTCCTCTGGGATACCCTCTTCCGGTGCCGAGACGATGAGAGCCTCCTGGAGGAAGTCTACCGATGTAGCCCGGTCGAGCTCGAAGCTGATCCCGCCCCAGTCCATCGTGACTCGGCCCGACTTGTGAACGTTCAGCTTCCCGACCCGTCCGGCGCGAAGCTGCCAGTCCGCCGCGGTGAGGATCTTCGACGGCTCTTTGTTTGTGGCTCCGTCCGCTTCGTCCAGTATCTCCACTTCGCCGCTCTCAAGCTTAACGGCGGCTTCGCCTGATCGCGTGGCCCCGGGGACAGCCTGTGTGTCTTCTGTAGTTGCTTCCTCCGTGCTGCCGCCAGTGCCCGGGACTATAAGGTTGGGTGTCATGGGAGGGAACTGCATGAGGAACAGTTGGCCCGCCAGTTTATCTTTAGTCTCATCCTCCGCTTTCTCTTCTTTCTCTTTGTCACTCACTGCCGTTTCGGGTGTTTCTGTCAAGTCCGCCGCCGCTTCGGCCAGCTCCAATCGCTCTGCGCTGGGCTCTTTGGGCTCGACGGAAAGGAGCTCCAGTATGGCCTCAAGATCCTTGGTATGTCTCTCATATTCTTCAATGTCTTCCTTTGTGCGCAGCAAGCTTCTCGGGTCTTTAGCCACAGCAGGTTTGGATGGAGGTGCGGGTGCGGGTGCGGGTTCCGACTCGGGAGACTTGGGACTTAGTCGTCTGCGAACTTTGACCTTTTGTGCTGGAAGAAAGCCATCATCGTGCGTTGCTTCACCGACATGGGGAGCGGCATCTGTCATTGTCTGGTCTTCGTCAACAGGTTCCTCTTTCACCTGAGGCTCAATCTCATCGTCGTCCCGCACGAAGAGAGAATCGTCTTCGGGCCTTGTCTTCCTCGCACGAACTTCCTCCACTTCATCCTCAGCCTTGGCTTCAGCTTCGGCGGGTTTACTCGTGCTGGACTCCATGTTGACACTGACCACACGTTCCTCGTGCTCACGGCGCTCAACACGAACAGGCCGAAGGCCCTTCTCCCGGTTCGCATACCGCAAGGGAACCTTTCCCTTCTTGCTATCTGCGACATCATCCAACTCCTCATCGCTATCGACCTCGATCTGGTCAATGGGAAGCATAGTCTCCGTATCACTCTCGTCCGAGGATACATGGCGACTAGCCGCACCACTAGCTATATCGATAACCGACCGACTCCGCGACATAGACGACGCTCGCGATTCCGGTTCAAACCGCCCACCACGGCCTCGTCGCCCGCCTCCAAGCGGAACCCCAGGCCCCCCGCGTCCTCGCCCGGGGCCTCCCCTGCCTCGCTGCGCATTTCCCCGTCCTCGCCGCATGGCCGCAACCTCAGCCAATCGCTCCCGATTCCGCTCCGCCTCAAGCTTCTCAATCGCATCTCGCTCTTCTTTGCTGCGCCGTCCCACGGCGCGAGGCTTGTATTTCAGCGTCGGCTTGGCCGGCTCTCCATTTCCCGGCGTTGTCGCGGCGGGAGTTCTCGCGGCGGGCCCGATACTGCCGGAGGGTGTGCGCTTTTTCAAAGTCTGGAGGCGCTGCACGGGTGCTCGTGTGGAGGGGGTACCGGCTGCTGTGGACGGTTGGGGTGTGGATGAGGCGGATCCAGTAGGAGTGTTTGATTCGGCTTGGCTGGTGGTTTTTCGCGAAGCTGTTCCTCCTCCTGCTGCTGCTGCTGCGCCTCGACGGACGGATTTGGGAGGCATGGTTGCTCAGCGGATCTGGCGCGCACGATGTGTGTGCTTGAAGGGAGGGGAGACCGGAGGAATCAGTACATCAATGAGGCACCAAAACAAGGATCCAGTTGTTCTCTCTAAACCTTCGTATTACTAGAAAATATCCCGATAAAAAAAATTGCAAATGAAAAAGCGAAAATGAGCGTGCTGGTAAGCTTGTTCGTGGAGTCTGGAAGATGAGTAAAATGATCCAAGTCTTCAGCGGGAAAAAAAAGAAGCGCGCGTCTAGCGCTTGCATGCGGAGAACCACCGCTAGTCCAAATACGGCAATATGAGAAAAGATGAGCTACCGACTATATCTGTACGACTCGCGCACATTGATAATCAAGCGTATAGTGCAAGATCCTTTGAAAGTGGATATCCATGGCTGAATAGTTGGAAACATAGCATGGGGCACATGTTTTAGAAGCTGCTCTTACGATTAAAGCTATCTTGAATCAGGTCTGAAAGCAAACAATATATATTCCTTACTCAACGACACTAGACCTCACACTCAAGCTGGAGTTCAAATCCGGCAAGGCAGGTAAAATAAATAACAACAAAAAACCGAACACACATAACTTGTCAGAACGCACTTCAGTGTAGATAAATGAGTGGAGGTAACCCTTGAGGCAAGGTGTCTGCAATAGAATGAAGCACACGAACGCCAAAAGATACAACAAAGCTAGATAATCAACCCGCTCAGTTCAATCGCTAGACTATCCATGATAAACAGCAGAGACTTAAACGCAGATGGCAACAGGACACGGACTGCGAGATGGAAAGAACGTAAGGAGCGCAAGCGCTCGTAGCACGGATACGGCAAAAAACCGCTGTCGAGTCAACGGTTAAATATCCAGTACCGAGTCCGCGCAGTGACTCACTTTTCGAGGGTTGTTCTATATGAATTGGGATGTAGGTGTTCGTATCGTATTTGCGGTAAAGGACTGGAGGACTTCAAGTTATAAGGGAGCGGAAATGTGTCGGTGAATGAGAGACGGGAGAGTTAGATCCTCTTGTTGAAGGAGGTCATAGCAGATAGCACGTCGAGAGCAACATCATCCAAGCGTTTTGTTGCTGACCAAGACAGATGCAGATGGTCCGAAAAGAATGAGATGCAACGAATGAAGACGGCGAGTGCAAGCAAGAACACATGCACTAACGCTTGCGCTTTTTGTTCTTGTCTGCGATAGCGGATGAGGAAGGGATAGCCGTAGTGCCGATCAATTGGGGCTCGTTGCTTGCGGGAATCGCGTCAAGGCCTTTCTTAACAGGTACGCCCATATGGCGACCATAACGACCTTTGCGACCGTTTCCCTCGTCTTCACTAACGCAGCCTTCAAGACCAATACCGGCATCCTTGCACCGACCACAGGGACGCTGGCGATCACAGCCCTTCTTGCTCTTGCGGCATCGCTGACAGCGTGGCTTCGTTGAAAGGTCCTCTTCGTCCGCAGCAAGCTGAGGTTGACCGTTGACGGAGGATGTAGAGGTCTTGCGGGCAGGGGTAGGGCTAACGATCTGCGACGGTGGCGCAGCCTTCTGACTCACCACAGTGGTCGTCGACTTGGCCTTACGAGCGACCGTGGTCGAAGAAGATTTTCCACTCTTGCCCTGGCGCGGGGGCGCTGTCTTGGACACACGCGGCTTGGCAGAAGTCGTACTGGTCGGTCGAGTCTTAGCCTTCTTCGGCTTAGGGGTAGACTCTCTGTAGTACGAATCTTCGTCGACCTCGCTCTTGACTAGACTATCATTAAGCTCTTCATGTTGGTAGTCCTCGTCCATACCGTCGTAGCTGGCGTCCGAGCTGTCGAAACTAGGCAGGATATCGTCAAGGCGCTTGTGAGTGCGTTTAGTGGTGCCAGGGGGGAGCATTGGGCTCGAATCGAGCTTCTGTCTAGACCGCGCCGGCAAATCATCGTCATCCTCACTGAAGTCTTCACCATCGCTTGTGGCGCCGGTGGAGGAAGCAGCGTCAGCAGCACCGCTGAACGCATCGTCCAATGTAGAAGCCGATGTTCGACCATGAGAGAAATTCGAAGCGTCTCCCAGCCGGATCAGCTGCATTGCAACATCCTCATCAGATATGCAGCTAGCAATGGTGGGATCAGGAGTTGGAAGGACACCTGGACCATTATACCGGCCGGCGGCGTTGCTGTACTGTCCAGACGACTGTGCGGTAGCGCGATCGCGCAGACGATGACCATGGTCAGGCACCGCCGGAGTGGCGTACATGGGGATTTGAGCGGAACTCATTGTATACGTCTGCTCAGTGTGGCCATAGCTTTGTGGAGATGGCAGTGGCTGTTGTTGATTGTAAGGACGTTGGCTGGGCCGAGCGAATGGCGAGATTGCGCCTTCTTGGCCGACTGATCGACGTTGAGGAGAGATCGACGAGGTGGAGGCTGTCAGAGGGACCTGGGGAGGCACAAACAAGGGCAATTCCTGAAAAGAAAAGATTGAGTCAGCAAATGTGGTTCGCATTGACAAGGAGAAGTCAAGTAGCAGGCATTTTCAGCTGTCTTACCGAGCTTTCAAATTTGGGTCGCTTCCGGCGACCGTCATGGAGTATATTTTCCATGCTGATATCCGAGCTACCAAACTGCTCGCTGCGGGCTTTCTTCGTACCGGAGACGGAGCCATAGCCGCCTTCGCTGTCACTGTAGCCGGAGGCTCCGTCATCATGAAAGCTGCCATGAGTGCTGGAACCCCTGCTCTTGTTGCCAGCTCTGGAGAGCTGCTTGTTCTGAGAGGCGCTCCGACGGCTTCTACCGGAAGGTGACATGCTGCGCTTGCGAGCAAGCCTGGAGGTAGGCCTGGATGGCGGTTGATTATGCTCCAAGACCTGCGCCGGCTGCATAGCCGGCCCCATCTGGAAAGGCTCGCCAAGACTGGGACGTTTGCGAGCCTCTACTGGGATGCCATAATAGCGATCCCCGTAGCCTTCCGAGTATGCTTGAACGGGAATCACCCGCACATAGACGGTCATGTTATTTCTTAGATTCTCATACCTTGCGATGAGGGTGATGCCATTTTCATCCTCAAAGCTGACACCACTGGCGGCACCGTCATAGATGCCATAGAAATTCTTCACTGTAGTCACGATTGAATCCGTCGTATCATGAGGATATATCTGTACCCTCATGGGTATCCGAGCCCGAACTTTGGAGTTTTCGTCAAGCAAAAGCTCAAATGCAACATTCTTGGGGATGGGAGCCTTGTGGGTCTGGCCCAGGGCCATATGTTCGGTATAGGCGGAGGGCTCCCCATGAGGCGAGGACTTTTCGTGATAGGTAGCCTGCATAATGGAGGGAGAACAGGTACCACCTTATTGCTACATCGAGAGATTTGTATCAATCGGCTGTTCGACCTGATGTGGGAGGGCCCGTCCAGAGGGTGAGGGTAGTGGGGGCAGAGAAAGGCAGGAGGAGGGAGACGAGAGTATGGGCAAATTCCGTCCAAACCTACCACAACGAAGGAACCAGATGGGTTTAGTTAGAAGACAGATCACCCGCGATCGTTGTACCGCTATGATTGATGCCGAAGGGTATCGTGGTTGGATGGGGGTGAGGGGGCCCCAAGTCGCAAGAGCCGAGAGCGACTGGAAAAGGGAAAAACCGGTTGAGAACCTGAAGGAAACATACCATATGGGTCAGCACAATTCACTCAAAAGAAGCCATCAAGGAAAGTTATGAATGACTGAAGAAGGCATTCGCTTGAATTTTTAGCGATGGCCCGTTCTAGTTCGAATCTTGATGAGTGCAGACTTGGAGGGAAGGGAAGAAGCCCAGGGTCTCTGGGAAGAGGATGGACAGTATCAATGACACACCTATCGCGAGTCAAACTTATTCATCGAGGATCGCACACATCTAGTGGTTCTAGAGGCAACGAACGATGGAGGCGATGGCTGTAGTCGAGTGTCGCAGTAGATGGATGGTGGATGAGTCGTCTACAAAGAAGCGCTTGGGCTGTATGTCAGCGGTGGCATCCGACAGGTTGATGAAATCAGGAGAGGAAGAGTCGAATCATGGGGGGAACGAAATGATTGCAAATAACACTCAAAGTAGACGATGAAGATCGGGGCTCACCTGTAAACCTATAGATGGATTGAAAGCAAGTATCGAAAGAAGTTGAGTGAACTGGTTGGGTTTCGAGATCAGCGGTTGAAGAAGAGAGAGAAGAAGTGGGTGCGAGTGTACGATGGTTTCACCTAAAGCGAAAATGGGCATTGGGGTCGGTGACCTGCGTTCGCCGGTAATCCACGAATTTAATACAAGAATGCCATGGAGGATGAATCTAATTCATGTTTTTACATGCGAAACTAGTTTCTGTCATTGATTGAAACCTATTCTGTTATTACATATGTTCTTATTTTGAGTCGCATTGCGCTGTGGGTTGTTGGTCGCAAACTGGATGCGCAAGACCGTCTGTCATCAGAAAGTCATGCGAAAGATATAATGCTATAGATATGGCTATTTACGAGTCGCTACCTTCCAATGACAATATGTAGAGGGTCAAATGCATAAAATTCGGTGTTATAACCCATCATTGACCATGACGATAGAGTCCGACTGATGGATTCGCCTCGAAATCGGATACTGGCGCAAAGGAAGCGACCAAGGTATCTGACTTTCAGTCGCACTCTCTCCTACCGGCTCGGTATCATCCACAGTTCTTCTCGACAGTTCAATCTTTCATTGTCCTTTCAGTCCTTTGCATGACTGGTTGGATTTATGGTGTGAGCAGAAAGGAACGAGACGGATGGGGTCCATCTGAGTGGCCGTCGATTCGTTGGCCGGCACATCCTCACCGCGGCCACGTCGAATGACACCCAGAAACTGCCCCCCATCCTGTCCAGGTACTATTAATTGAGGAGAAAGGGAGTATCTTTCCGGCACGGCGATCTGACTGGTAAACAGAAAAGCACCGATCAGTGCTTGTGAGCGAAATAGGACAGCTCAGGATAAGTCATCACCGGACGGATTCACACG